TTACATAGATAGAGGAAAGCAGTGGGCCTAAAATGAACCCCTATGCTACCCCTTGAATAACAGATACTGCATTATTCACAGTCACTTCCATTTTCCTATCTTCTATAAAAGATTTTTCCATTCCAGAGGGAACCCTCTAATGCCAATGTTATATAACTTACTTACTATTATGTCACTATTTACTGAATCGAACGCGTTAAGTCAAATAATATTGAAACTACGTACTTCCCCTTATCGATTTCATTGTAAATGAACTCGAAATTTCTAGCAACAGCAGTCTCAACTGATCTAGCTTTCATTAAACCTTGATGATCGTTTAGAATCTTGTATTTTTCGAGAAACACAATAATTCTATTTGCTACAATTTTTCAATAAGTTTAGATGGAATACTCAGTAATGATATTTGGCGATAGTTATATATATCTTCATGTGGACCCTTTTTATGAATAGGAGTAACTTTGGCTGTTTTGAAGACACTCGGAAACACGTCTTCCATTATAGATTGATCAATAAGATTCAATAGAATTTCAGATATAGATGCAATGACATATTTTAGAACTTTTATTGTTATATCGTCTAGGCCTCTCGATTTTTTATTTTTCAGTTCGGTCATTGTTGAAACTAGTTCAGGTTCTAGCACTTCTTCAAAAAACATTGAGTTTTCGTTAAATTTCGAGACAATATGTGGTAGTGACATGTTCTGACCTACATGTCTTAACAGAGCTGCCGAGGCTTCTCTGGCAAAGTGGCAAGCAAAATTATTGGCAACTTCTGTTCCATCATTGATCTGGATACCATTTGCTTCAAGATGAATCTCTCTTTCATTGTCAATTTTGGTTTTCCCTCTGAAACTATGTTTGTTTTCAGCTGTTTCTATTTGATTTGCGTAATGTCCTGTTTTTAACTTCTTTAATTTATTTGTATATTATCTTTTTTTCCTTCTGTAAATCTCATCACTCACTTCTCCATCTATCATTCTTTTGTGCAATTCTCTTAACTGACTTTTTTTTACTTTCTGTTTTTGTTTTACATTTATCCTATTTTTAGGACATGACACGTCAAGACACCAAGTCAATTCCTTCATAAAGGTCTCAAATGCATTATTTGTAGTAAGTCCACTTATACAAGTCCAATCAATATTACTTAGTCGTGTCCTAAGTTCTTGTAAGTTCTCATCTGTAAATTTTCTATTGAAGTAGGTATTTGTAGCCAGAGAATCATTCGCTAAAGAGTTGGTAAGAGTGCATGATAAAATATGTGCAAGATGTTTGACTAATAAAGTATCATATAAGAATACACTGAAGTTTCCTTTTGAAATATTTGTGACAAGGTAGTCAATTGCTATTGCACTCACATGGTTATGTTTATTTTTTAGGATATGTGTTGGCTCATTTGTTGTTTTGGTAATATGAAAAGATTCTAAACAATCATTCAATATTTCCGTTTCATTTTCACAATTACCTTAGGATGGGTATTAAATGACAGGGTTTAACTAGTAGACTAGTAGTGCACTTTGAAATATTGATAAACGGCACTATCGGCTACATTGCAGAAATTGTTTGGCCTCACTTTCGTCAAACTCAAATGTACAAAACAAATGTTCTGTCAGTTCAGATCAACTTTGGAAGAGGCGGCGTACATCTTATCCACCCTAAAGCCATACAGTTTTCAGTAAAGTTCAATTATGGGACCGCATAATTTTGCCATGGGCTTCCACTGTCCAGAAAATCCAAGGCAGCACTGTAGACCACGCAGTTGTGTATTTAGTCTCGATATTGTTTGATGAAGGACAAGCATACGTGAGTGGTTTTAAGTCAAGTAAAGGCTCAGTCTTTGGTGGTTCATGTATTGAGGAGTTGGGTTGCAGCAAATTTTCGAGAAATGAACCTTGTAAAACTGAGACACTAAATGAACTGGAATAAGAAGGGATTAGTTATAAAATTAGAATCTGAAAACTTGAAAATGAAAACATGTTCTGACCTACATGTCTTAACAGAGCTGCCGAGGCTTCTCTGGCAAAGTGGCAAGCAAAATTATTGGCAACTTCTGTTCCATCATTGATCCGGATACCATTTGCTTTAAGATGAATCTCCCTTTCATTGTCAATTTTGGTTTTCCCTCTGAGACTATTTACAATATCCCATGTAGCGTTCTGTTTGTTTTCAGCTGTTTCTATTTGATTTACGTAATATCCCGTTTTTAACTTCTTTAATCTATTTGTATATTCTCTTTTTTCCCTTCTGTAAATCGCGTCACTCACTTCTCCATCTATCCTTCTTTTGTGCAATTCTCTCAACCTACTGCTTTCATTCTCAACTTCTCTCGTTACCCATTTTTTTTTACTTTCTGTTTTACATTTATCTTATTCTTAGGACATGACACGTCAAGACACCAAGTCAATTCCTTCATAAAGGTCTCAAATGCATTATTTGTAGTAAGTCCACTTATACAAGTCCAATCGATATAACTTAGTCGTGTCCTAAGTTCTTGTAAGTTCTCATCTGTAAATTTTCTATTGAAGTAGGTAGTTGTAGCCAGAGAATCGTTCGCTAAAGAGTGCATGATAAAATATGGGCAAGATATTTGGCTAATAAAGTATCACATAAGAATACACTGAAGTTTTCTTTTGGAATATTTGTGACAAGGTAGTCAATTGCTGTTGCACTCACATGGTTATATTTATTTTTTAGGATATGTGTTGGCTCATTTGCTGTTTTGGTAAGATGAAAATATTTTAAGCAATCATTCAATATTTTCGTTTCGTTTTCACAATTACCTTAATATGGGTATTAAATGACAAGGTTCAACTAGTAGACTAGTAGTACACTTGAAATATTGGTAAACGGCACTATCGGCTACATTGCAGAAATTGTTTGGCCTCACTTTCGTTGAACTCAAATGTACGAAACAGATGTTCTGTCAGTCCAGATCAACTTTGGAAGAGGCGGCGTACATCTTATCCACCCTAAAGCCATACAGTTTTCAGTAAAGTTCAATTATGGGACGGCTGAAAGACGGATGTTACCCTTAATTTTGCCATGGGCTTCCACTGTCCACAAAATTCAAGGCAGCACGGTAGACCACGCAGTTGTGTACCACTGTCCACAAAATCCAAGGCAGCACTGTAGACCACGTAGTTGTGTATTTAGTCTCGAAATTGTTTGATGAAGGACAAGCATACGTGACTGGTTTTAAGTCAAGTAAAGGCTTAGTCTTTGGTGGTTCATGTATTGAGGAGTTGGGTTGCAGCAAATTTTCGAGAAATAAACCTTGTAAAACTGAGGCACTAAATGAACTGAATGGAATAAGAAGGAATTAGTTATAAAATTAGAATCTGAAAACTTGAAAATGAAATGTGACAAAAATTTTTGTTAAACGGTTTTATTGAAAAAAAAATATAATAATGATGTAGATACTGTACTGAAAACTAAAAAATAAACGTACGTAAACGTAAAACGTATTTTGCCTTCTTAACAATGAAATCAAATTTTTTGAGACATAATCTCTTGGAATATATGGTCTAGCGCAGGGATCTCCAAACTTTGAAGCCTTCGGGCCATAATGATTTTTTCAGTTTGTTCCAAGAGCCGATTTCTGCCCTTAACTTTGCGACTAGGATAGTCGCAAAGTGCGTGACCTAAGCAAACTTACGCTTTTTTTGCATTTCAATTATTATTGTGTATTGTGACACTTAACTGGCGAGTAGTGGTACTATGTACTATCTTTTTCAGCTACCCGCTAGGTGGCATTAGGCGTAATTAAATATTTGGAATTACCGCGTTGGTTCGAGAAAGTTCTGGTTCTAGCTAGTGTATTCCGATCACCTCGAGATGGCAGTAATAATTGCATATAAAAAGGCTAGCGGCGCAACTGCGAGTTAGTCTGCGTAGGAAAGGCGAAGGAAGCGAAAC